TATTGCAAATGGGACACCCCGTAGTTTTTTATAGTTTTGAGTAGCCCTGCATTTTGTGATTACAAATATCTAACATAGTGTAGCATTAGTTTTGTTATATAATGGCGTATGGTACTACTATACTATACCAAGATAAGAAAAATAATATATTTAGAAAAAATATATTTAGAAATTCAACAATATTAATGACTTAAAATACTACATTAAGGATTACAATTAAGATTACAATAATTACAGGAAATAAAGTGCCGCATAGAAAAGGCAAGAACGCTCTTTAACAAAATAAGTGCCATCTTCAAAAGTCACAACATATCCCTAGATACAAAAATGAGACATTTGAGATGCTATGTTTTTTCTGTGTTGTTGTACGGGCCGGAGGCATGGACGCTTACAGACACCACTATTAAAAAACTTAAAGCATTTGAGATGTGACTTTATAGAAGAATGCTGAGAATATCATGGACAGCAAGGATCACGAACAAGGAAGTTCTAGGAAAAATGAAGAAGGACACGTTATGAGAAATCAGCACCGTGACTCCCTGCTGCAGTCTATATTGCAAGATAAAGTCAAAGGTAAGCGAGGACACGGTAGAAGGAGAATATCACGGCTGCGGAATTTAAGAACATGGTTTAAGAAAACCTCAACGGAGCTGCAGCGAGCAAGGTTATGATTGCCAATGTGATTTCCAACATCCGAAACGGATAGGAACCAGAAGAAGAAGAAGAAGAAGATTACAATAGATGCTCCAAGTGCCCTTTATTGTTATCAATGCACAAGTAATATCTTCGTCTCAAATTTTCTCATGCGTCAGATATTATGTTATTATGGCCATTTAAATTTTCAATTTCCGCGCGAACTTTTGCCGTGATAGTGTTAATATCTGTATGTTCATGAAAATACACTTTTTCTTTTAAAAACCCCCATAAAAAGCTATCACATGGTGTTAAATCGGGACTATTTGGTGGCCATGTAATGGTACCCTTATTGCCGATCCACACATTAAATTGATTATTTAAATGTTCTTGAACGGCGAACATTATGTGGCGGTGCTCCATCTTGTTGCCATATGATACTATTTAATTGATTTTGTGTATAATTTTGATATAATAAATAACTCATCCACTTCTGTAATGACTGTGTCCAAATATGATTTCCCAGTTAATTTATAATCATAAAATAATGGTCCAACTATTTTGTTTTGAAATATTCTGCACCACACATTTATTGATTTTCTTCCTGACTCTTATTTGCTTAATTTTTCTTTTTCTATTATATTTCTGTTCCCACGAATACCTATTTCTTCTATTAAAAATGCCTGAAGTTGAAAAATTTGATTCATCTGTCCATAAAATGTTATAAAAATAATTAGGATCATTGTTCAAATTTGTAGGCATGTCTTGATAGAACTGTAAACACTTTCTCTTATGAACATCGGTAAGTTCTTGTTATACCAGTAATATTTTGTACTTTTAATAGTTGTGCTTTTTTAAAACTCTATATATCGTCGCAGGGCTTTTCTCTAACGCATTAGTAGCATTGTTTAGACTAGTTTCGGAATTTTGTAATACAAAATGTTTATTATGGATTTAATCTATTATTTAAGTATTTAATTTTTACCTTCAAAGTAAAGCAAAGTATTAAGATCTTCATCATCATTTCCTACGAAAGTACGTTTCTTCCGTTCAAATATTTTTTTCATTTGTGACATGACGATAATTATATAAAAATGTATTTGCAGAAGGAGTCTGTCGATCTGGATAAATCAGCCTATATTCTCTTCTTGCCGCTTGCTTGTTTTTATTAGTTTTTATATATTGAGAATATACCTACTTTTTCATCTGCATTATAACCCATTCCGATATGAGGACTGACAGTTTATAATAAATTAATACTTAATTGTTTCATTTTGAAATGTCAGTTGCATAACAACCTATGGTTACCCTTTTGTAGTACCATATGCCATTATAGAACAAAACTAATGCTATTTTACACAATGTTATATATTGGTAATCAGGAAATGCAGAGCTACTCAAAACTATAAAAAATACAGGGTGTCCCATTTGAAATATTGAAGATGCATTTTATTGGGCACTCCCTGTATACAAAATTGGGTCTGTTGCTACATTGTTAGTCGGTACAGATTAAATAATACAACTTTTACTTGAAACTTTTTTTTGTATTTCCGAAATTAAGAGAAATAAGTGGGGGTCAAAATATAATGAGAAACCCGTTACAGTTCTGCCATATCGACGTCTAAATTAATCCTAAAACAAGGATTTCTGGAAGTGATATACTTCCTCTTTAGAATCAATCAACTTAACGATCTACTTACGTTATGTGATGTCTCTTGTAAATCAAGTTACACGTCAATTACTTTTATTCTATGATTTTAGAACGTCATGTTCTATAAGTAGTAAGTTATCTAGCCTTACCACATTCGTCGTATTTTTTGCTGGCATTAGACTGTTGTATTGGCATTCTGTTCATATTGCCATTAAAAAGTTTCTTTGTTGTCGGGATATAAGGTTAGAACTACGCCTGAGAATGCTTCGATGTTACGTGTTCTCTACTCTTCTTTATGGTCTGGAAGCTTGGACACCCAAACAAGTTCATCTGAATAAGCTGGCCGCCTTTGAATTTTGGTGTTACAGAAGAATCCTACGAATATCATGGATTCAAAGAATGTCAAACATGGAAGTAACTAGAAGGATAGGCAATGAGGCGGAAATAATATTAACTATTAAAAGACGAAAACTTGAGTACTTGGGACATGTGATGAGAGGTCAAAAATATGCATTATTACATCTTATTATGCAGGGCAAAATCCGAGGAAAGCGAAATGTGGGAAGACGAAGAATATCCTGGCTTAAGAACTTAAGGGAATGGTTTGAATGCAGTAGGGCAGAACTTTTTAGAGCGGCAGTCAACAGAGTCCGCATAGCCATGATGATTTCCAACCTTCGATAGAAGATGGAACTTAAAGAAGAAGAATTGGCATTCTATCTGGATACTTAAGGTTAAATAAATCACAAAACAGACGCTGTGTCCAATCTTCTATTGCCAATCATATACAGAGTTTCAGTCCCTTGGCGTTTACTTAATGCAAGCATTTTAAAACTCTAAACTATGTCAATTTTTTTAAAATTGTTAAAATACAGTGAACAGTGCTATTTGTAGTATTTGTGTTAAAATATTAGGTGTTTATGCTTATACAGTAAAACCATACTTTTTGCGAACATTCACTTTACTACTACATAAAAACAAATCAGACAACAATATATAAATTCAAGTTTTTTAATAATATAAGAATATATAGTACATTAAATTTAAAAGATATCAGTGACGTCATTACTTAAAGGTGGTTGACCCTATACATTTTCTTGTAGCATAAGAAAAATTCAAATTGAATTAAAAATCTGTCTGTACTAGGAACTATTTCACAAATATACAACATGTTGAAATAGTTCACCTGCGAATAGTGTTTTATTTATAATATGCGTATTTATATGTGTCAATCTATCAATAAATACTAATCTATAATCCTTTATTAATTTATTGTTGAACATAAACAACGGTATTGAAGAACAAGCTTATTATTGTTAACAAATCAATGTATTGTGTGTCTGATTCATCAAGTAGTTATAAATAGAATTTGTTCTTTGATTAAATGAAATATCTTTCTTATTGATAGATACTCATTTTAAAGAGTACCTAGTAGTGAAAAAAGACAACTATGGAAAAAATTTATATAATTTTTGTATTTATTCGACGGATAATTGACTTTTTCGGTTATTTGTCTTCGGTTGTTATGGTTATTTAGTATAAGATACTAAAGTCTTATGGTGAAATGATACTGGAAATAAATAATTATCATATATAGGTTATTTTATGAGAATATTAAAGGGTAGGTAAACGAAGGAGAAAACCAAAATATCTTGAACGTTCCTTTAGAAGATGGAGTCACACAACGAATAAAAAAAACTAAAATAATTTGTTTTTTTTTTAACGATATCCGAAGTGATAATCAGAACATCAAAAAAGTATTTTATTTAAATATTACGGATAAGATGATAACTTCGGATGGTATTTTTTATACAAATTGGTTGAATCAGCTTTACGGTTACTAGAGACTATATATATATATATATATATATATATATATATATATATATATATATATATATATATATAATATATATATATATATATATATAAATAAAGGGAGAATGTTTGCAGCATACATAAAAAATATAGAAAAAATAAAATATGTGTATAAGTGTACACCTACATTGGAACCGTATTTCTCCCGATCCGATATCGGGCGACGTCGGATTGAAAACAAACTCAAGGTATTAAATTATCGTGCCTATACTACTTCGTCATGGAAGCAGTATAGGCTGTACAGTATATTAATAACTGTTTTATTAATTAAATCGTGCCCAAGTACCTTCGCTTCTTAGAGCATCTTCAGGGGCATTTCGTAAAATTTTGGACTATCCAACAATTGCAGAATGTCATAGATTTAAAATTAAACATACAATGGAACATAACACTACACTAAACAAGGACAAACAGTTTAAAATTATTTCAAAATAGTGGAAGCTACATTCTGGTCGGCAACAGGAGAAATAATAAAGATGCTCTAAGAAGCGAAAGTATTTGAGCAAAATTTAATTAATAAAACATTGCTCGATATCTTCCTTTCATTTCATCAAAGTTCATTTATTCGAGCATTCAACATTATATCAACTTCAGGAAGAGACTATTCTTTCGTTTTTATAATAAATGACTGTTTTAACAATGTTTACTGTCCGTATAACATGCTGTTAGGAATTACATACATTGAACTTTTTATAATTCTAATTAACGATGAGTTAGTTTAGTTTAGGTTTGCTGAAAACGCTAAAGAGGAGTAGAAAGACTCATATATCATTTATTGGGAAATATAAATTTTAAAATATTCTGACTAAAAATCGTATAAACTAAATATTTGTTTTAGGCATGTTTAGAAACATTCTTCGGCCTCGGACTAATCGTTGGACCCACCGTTGGTGGTGCCCTCTATCAGACAGGAGGTTACACTCTACCGTTTGCCGTAATGGGAACACTATTAATTCTCTCTGCGATTTTGACGGCGTTTGTGTTGCCTAAACATGAGGATTCTCCTGTTGACAAAGTTTCTCAAAGTACGTAGAAAAATATGTATATATTTTACTTACTCCAAATTTGAATAATAATATAAGAACATAAGAATTCCACCAAAAGAGTTAAAAAAGCTTGTAAATCTTCAGATGAAAGATATTATGCTAAAACTTCATATAATTTTTTGTTTTAGTATTTTATACGTCGGCTTTTAAATCTGAACGTAATCTCGCTTACAGTTCTACAAATTTCCAAAGTGAAAAGTCACGTAATCTTGGTTTTCTGCATGTGTTCTTTGGTTTAAATGATGTTAGTACAAAAGTTATAATTAACTTTTACTTTACTTTTAATTTTTAAAAAGTTATAATTAGTTACTTTATTAAGTAGTTAATAAAATTCTATAGAAATTACCTTACAATTCACTACCTTAGGACAAAAAGTCAGGACTCCTTATCGTTAATTTTTTAGGTACGTAACTTGAAATGAATTAAAAGGCGATAAACTGTTTTGATTGCCATATAAGTGGCTCTATTTAAAAATGAATTTAATTGGAAATTTCAAATTACCATTTTTTATTTATTTTTTAATTGAATATAAGTTCTGCTTCTGGCCGGATCCGCCGCTAGGTAGGTGTAGTCAAATCGTTGATCAATTGAGCATTGAGGCCACAAATGGGTAAACTCATAATGAGTCCTGTGTTTTACAGTTATGTGCGAATTAATGGAATCACTGTGATTTTTTTTTCATTTTTTCAATATTCACAAGAAAATGTTTTGGGGATGTTTTTCATACATGGGGGTTGGATCTTTGGTGCCAATTGAAGGCATGATGAACAGCCAAAAATACAAATCCATGTTGGAAAAGTATTTGGACAAACAACTCCAAAAATGTCAACCCCAAGGAGGAGCGATTCTTCAACAGGACTCTGCTCCCTGTCACAAATCAAAGGAAATGATGGCATTTTTCAAAAATAAGAAAATTAATGTTTTAGATTGGCCCGGTAATTCGCCCGACCTCAACCCCATTCAAAAATTTATGGGCCATTTGCAAATCTAGACTGCGAAAAATCGAATGTACCAATAAAACAAAAATGATAGAAGCGGCCATTCAGGTTTGGTATCGAGATGAAAGGATATCTGATAACTGCCAGAAACTCATAGAATCTATGCCAAAACGGGTAAAAGCAGTACTTGCTGCCAAAGGGGGACATATTTCCTACTGAATGATGTAAATTTACCTTTATAGTTTTGTCAAAATATAATTTTTTACTAAATGAACTGTTTTTTCATTAAAACAGCCTATGATTCCATTAATTCGCACAATACTGTAAGTTGTCAATCGCGTATTGTTGAAAAATGTTGACAGAAGTCCAGCGTTATTAAATCGTACGATCTCGAAGACCAATAATTAATATGCAGTTGCATTATTCATGCTTATTCTTCTGTTTTTAATGAAAGAAGTCTGCAACAGTACGAACAAACGGACTATACCTATATTCTAACGTCAGCAAAAGATAATTCAAATTACTTCTGTTTTCACCATCACTTCATTTTTTCAGCATCGCTATTATCAGTAGTAATATCCCTAGGACGTTGATAACAGACGAGATAATTTCATGACAATCGAAAGCTCGTTTCTTGGTAACAGCACGAAGCCGAAGGCTGAGTGCTGTTACCAAGCAACGAGGTTGAGAAATTTGTCATGAAATTATGAGGCATTCATCAATGTCCGAGGGATATTCAGCGGATAATTTTTCGAAAAAAAAATCATAACGAAACATTTATTTATTAAAAGTACAGTTAGTGAAAGTACAATTATTATTAAATTTAAGTTAACATTAGATTCGTTGCTGTTCTCTACTATAGAAGATCTATTACCACGCATAATATTTATAATCTTGTTGTGGTGTTCTTGATCGAGATTCAAGTATGGTTGTATAGAATTCTATTTTATTATATTATATTTTATAGAAACGTGACATTTTGAAATTTATTTGGATGAAGTTGTCAAACTCGATCGTGTTGTCATAGGGATTGAAAATTGCACTGAATGCAATTATCAGTCTAATGTTGACATCATTGGGTGAAATTGTTCCACTTGACACAAAATGACGAAATTTGAATGGTTGTTGTTAGAACAGTCGAAAAGTTATCGCAATAATTAATTTGTTTATTATTGGCATATACTATACTTATACTTCATATATTCCCTATTTCGCTATTAGTTTTGTTACTTATTGTCTACTTAACTGTAAAAAGCTGACGAAAATTTGGAAGCTACATTTGTTCTACTTATATTTCTTTTTAGTTGAGCCCATATTAACTCAGTGGTTTTAGAATACAAAAATAAGAAGGTTCTCTAAGCAAGTTATGTCAATTATTATAATCTCAATTATCAACAACATATTCCTTTTGATATTTTTTACTATGAAAAACTTATAGATAACAAATGCTTTTTACTATAAGAATCTTTAAAAAACCAATTTTCTTCAAAGAGCAATTTTTTAATTTGTGGTTTGGTCCAAGTATTATTTGGATTTTTTCTGAGTAATCGAGAATGACTCGAAGATTGTCCATTCAAAAAATGTTCTCTCCCTGTCCTCATAGTAGTTTAAAGATGCATATTTAACTTTCTTTGGCCAACACGAATAATGATCCATCCATTTTATCCAACAGTTTTTATTATCATTTATTTAGCTTCTTTCACAGTAATATAAAACCGAGAGTTAAAACTAAGTCTCATCTAAATGTTTGATTTAATTTTCCATACCTTTTCATTAAAAAATTATATAATCTTTTCATTAAAAAATCATTTTACTGCTTTCCGTGAGGGACTTTTCGCAATATATGGTTTTTAACTTAAAATTATTAGCTTTGTAAAATTATTGCGGCTTGTTACTGAATAAGAAAGAATGTGTTCTCGAACCAATTTAGTTCTAAGGCTTAAAACATTTGCTGCGTAGATTTCTTATAGTGTACTTGTCACATTGTGAATAAGGTGGCGTTCTATTTTTCTGAACTTGGTACTATCGTTTCTATTCTTCCTAGATAAAAACGTCCCTCATATAATCCAAAATAGCCAATTTTGGCATATTTGTTAATTGCCTCTAATTCAGAAAATTTAAAACGAATACCTTCATAAACTCTTTTTATCATGCGTTTGCCCTCAACAGGTAGCTACTGAAAATGGCGCCTATGTATCACTTGGCAGTCTTGTTAATCTTGCCGTTGATTAGGTTTCATTGGTTCTTTAGATATAAACTAGTTAATCCATATAAATACTCTTATTTATACTAGAAAATTCTCAAATCTAAAACACTGATGTAACTTTAGTTGTCAGCGGTTTCTATTTGTACACATTAAAATTCATAATTTTTTCCAATTATGCTCACTGTAGGAAATATTCAAAGATAAATACGTATTTAAGATAAAGATAAACGCCTTTGTATACGTAGTTTTAACACCGCCAGATAATCACGGCCTAAACAGATTCTTATGAAATTCAAGCCGCAACTATATCAAGCCCGTTCGTAAAGGAAATGTCATTGATAACATCCATATGTCAGATATTTCATTCGATTATTACTTATAAACAATAATTGTTCCAGGTAATTTTTTATTATGTTTATCCATAATTTAACTAAAAAGAAATAAATGTTTGTGAATTCTGACCAAAATTCGTGACTATACCGTATTTTTACGTTATAATAAAAAATTTTTGGTAATTTTTAATCCAAGATTGTCTATTCTGTTTTCTTTTTAGAGTCTATGTTGTCTGCTTTAAAAATATATGGCGTCCTTTTGGCAGCTGCTAGCGTGGTGGTATCCAGCATGTCGATCGGCTTCCTTCAAGCTACCTTGGAACCGCATTTGCGAGAATTCAATCTCTCCCCCATTATAGTCGGACTTATGTTTGTCATCAACGGGGGTGTGTACGCGATGACTACTCCTATTTTTGGATATTTCTGTGATAAGCTACAAGTACCTCCGAAGAGGATTATTGCGCTTGGATGTGTGGTTGTGATTATTGGTTTCGCTTTGATTGGTCCTATGCCTTTAATGCCGTTTAAGAAGTAAGTAATTATCCACTTTTAAAATTAATTTTTTTGAGCTTCTCGGTATAAAAGTGATTTTTCAATTTATAAGATGACTGGCGTGAAGCTTCGAAAATTAGGTTGATTTTATTAAAATAAAATAATGCACGTAATCATACGATTAACGAACATTTTGTATATAACCTAATCTACTACGTATTGTCCTAAGTATTTCCGATGGTTCCCCTTAGAAACTAATAATTGATGTGGTTAGGTTAACTGTTTGAGTTTAAACTGACACTTATCACACAAGTTCGAAAGGTTTGATTCATTTAAGCCTGCGGACTAAGTTTTGATTATCTAGCAGTTCTAACACTCAACTATTTATATGTTTATGGAGAGTCGTTCTTCATAACCCTTAGCAATCTTCTTTATTTTTTCTTTAATAGTTTTTTATGGAAAGTATATCCTGATGTAGGTTTTTATTGCGAATATACTACGGAGTATTGACTACATTCCTTGTTATTCTGCTTTGAAATCTTTGGAAGCAAGCCAAATTAGTCTCACTATACTTGGTTTATTTGCAAAAGGCAGCTCATTACAAATGCAAATTTTCACTAATCTGAAAATAGCAGGTAAAGTAGTCAAAATGAAATCACTTAAATAATATCCTCACCTGTTGAAATGTAGTCTTAGATATTATTTTTTAAAGAATCCACGCTGTTCACATACAAATAAAAATACAAACTCATAGAATATATTATATCTAACAGGTATGAAAATCATGAGTCAGTGTTGGAAAAGAAGACAGATTTACCTATATGTTAAAAAAAATAATGTTATAGCGGATATCTAACATTTAAACAATGTGCATAAATTAAAAACTTACTAATTTACTTATAAATTGTGGATTTCTATCTATTCCTTTTCTTCTATGTCAGATTCATTATGTGGCCCGATTGGAATGATTATAGATTGACAAAGTTATTATCAAAAGTCCACAATTTTTTCTCCTTTATTTTTACTCGGTTTACGGCATTGGTCCAGTTATCTTTCGTTACGTTTTTATGGAAGATAAAAGTTTTTCGAAATCTTAGTGGATTTTGAAACGAACTTAAAAAAAAACATTCTTCACAAAACCATGTTCGCTACCAATGTGCCTGATTATTAATCTTGGGCTATTTCCTACGGGAGCATTTAAACCACAAGAATGTCGTTCTATAAAGGCTTGTCGATAACTTATAATATTTTTATATACGCATACTTTTGAAACGGTATAATTTTCGTTTAGCCAGGTTTTATCTAAATAGAAAATGCATCTTCCTTTTATTCTAAATCTTTTTATCGTTCTCAAATATTGTCTTCGGCAACAAACAATCTCTTATGTATCGTTCAATATAGGTTTTTTTCTATGATTTTCGAAACAAAAACCAATTTCTTTAAGTAATTTCCATAACTTATCTTGGTCAATGTATGGAAAATTATTATCTCTTATAGCCTTTAATATTATATTGTATGTAGGAATCTTCTTGTTTAATAGAACGAATGAACCTTTCTACGTTGGACGTTTCTATAAAAATAATGAATTTCCAGTGGTTTTTGCATCAGTAATGTTTCCTTGTTTTCTTTCACTTAAAAACCTGTAAATGGTTCATTCACTAACACCTGTCATACCGGAGCACAGTCACTACATTATTAACCGTTGTTAAAGGTTGTTGATGAACAAGGGAGTCATGATTTCATACAATAGTTTTTCCTTTAAAATAATAAGCGCCGTTTTTAAGTTTATCAGCAACAAATTAAAACGATGATGCAATTTTAATGCATGGACTGATAAAATTCGTGCTTTCTATTTTCATATTATTTTATAATTTGTGTTAAGAGTTTTTAATTTCATGGAGTCTTTTTTTAAGTATATGTAACTAAACAAATTAATGCATCACTATAACTCGTATTTAAAAAAAACTTTATTGAATTCAACTACATCCGTATGGCAATGGTTTATGGCCTTAATGGTAACCCTTAACTTACATTTGAAGACTTGCAGTTATAATGAACTGCCAGTTGCAAACAAATAGATTATAGTGGCCAAGCTTTCCATCTTATCTTTTAACTTTTTGTGTAGTATGTTTAAGTAGTTTTCGGACTGATGGAATCACAACCTGGACATTAAATAATAAGTCGTCTAAAGAAGATTATCAAAAAAGAAGAAGAAAAACTTTTTCAATCTTCAATTTTAATTTGATTTCTAGTAGATACAGTTTTTGAAGGAAATATTTCAAAATAAATATCAAAAAAAAAAATAAAAAATATTTTTGTCCTTGACCATGAATTTTATCTGAGAACTATACGTTCTTGAAGAAATCAAGACCTTAGTACACTCGGTTTAGCCTGTGCACTCAGAAAATGTTTTTTTCTTATACGTTTCCTGAACCATTCAGGCACGCAACGCAATGCAAATGAAAGTTTATTTGTACTACGTATCAATAACCGTGGAAAGAGTTACACATTTCACATAAAGACGTTTTAGTAATATTTTCTTTATGTGAGTATATTTATCGTACCAAATTTCTTTTCGGAAATTTCTAATAGACAAACGAGACACTTCTTAGAGAGGAATCGCGGTCTTTATTGGAACCTCCTTTGCTAAATAACCACAATGCAACCACTTTATTAGTCATGTGTTATATAACATCAATTTATTTGTAATTTATCTTTTCTGACTTTTTTTCTTTCTTTTTTGACCCTTTTTTTGTTTTAGAGACATTTGGTTAGTCGTAGGTGGCCTCGTTCTTCACGGTCTTGGAATGGGAGCCCAACTCGTAGCTTCATTTTCAGATGCTCTTACGACTAGTATGTAAGTATAATGCAACCAGTATATATTATTAATTAAGATTCTAGACTCTATTAATATTCTTGAAAACAAACATTAATAATATCGAAACTACACTATTTACTACTTTATTTAAATATGATATTAATGTTTGTAAAACAAGATTACAGAAAGAAAAAAAGAACTATATAACAAATGCAGTTTTATTGATGGCTTTCTATAAATATCAACAACATGTTTCCTTTTCTTTTGCGATAACATAATTATCTGAATAGATTTTTAATGTAAAATGTTGTTGGTTCATTTACAATGTTTAAATATGTCTAATTAATCAGAAAATGAGATTATCTATTAAATTACTTACAAGAATTTAGTTTTGACTATTTAACCACTTTGCAGTCTGAAATCCTCTAATATACTAAAACAATAAACAAATTCTAAATAAAACAATTGATAATATTATTGACGCCAATGAGGTCATGTCGCAATTATTTCTTTAGGTTTTTGTATATAAATAAACCAAATATACTATACTACGTCTATAGTATGGTTGATTTTAATTCATACAATGGAAAAATCGAAAAATACCAGAAACGAAATACAGACAAAAAGGATAAGAAAAATAAAATCAATACGATATAATGTAGTAAAAAACCAAGAATATAAAAGTACTAAACAAATAAGGGCAATAACAAAGAGGTACGTTAGATCAATGATAAAAACAGGAAATTTCTGTAACAGAAATGTAATAGAAATCTTATTCATCAGCATCTTTTATCCTTTGTACATCTAAAATAGCTTAAATTCTCTTTGGATATTATGAAATTTAATTGTTTGATAGTAGTTAGGAAAACGTGTAGTTTTCCGGTCGCGATTTTTAATTTACACAAATATTGACCCCCAAAGGTTAGAACATTTAAGACAGCTCGTCATGCAAGTGTAAAAGACTATCCCTATATATATATATATATATATATATATATATATTTTATATATATATATATATATATATATATTAATATATATATATATATATATATATATATATATATATTCAGGGATTCTACAGTATTTACTGCCTTCCCCCGCTCAACCATTTCCAACTCTCTCTGTTGTTCACGATCAAGAAGAGCCTTTTAGATGATTATCTTTTGAAGCTTATTGGTTTTCAGATTTAAATACAACTTATTCTTCTGCTAATGTTGTGAAACTGTTTATTGTGTTAGTTAATGGTCAAGTTTAGAATTGTGTTCAGATGATTCCTCATCCTCAATATTTTCTCCTTCATACGGATGTAGTGGCGTCATATCATTTGATTAACTATTTTTCTCCAATTATCCCTCTCCTGTGCGTGTTGTTTTTCTACGGAGAATGAGTAACCATTCATCTCCTTTATTTTGTCAGACCATCCTACTGGAGATCTTCCTCTGGATATTTTACCCCCTACGTTACCTTCAACTATCATTCGCTCCATGTCTTCACTTCTTCTAGTTATATGTCCAAATTATCTCAGTATATTTTGGTTGATAGTTTTGATGAGTCTAGTTTTTATGTTAAGTTCTGCTAGAATTGACTTATTTTTGCGATGGTAGGGGCATGGTATGCGCAACATTCTACGGTAGACCCACATTTTAAATGCCATTATACGCTTTGAATCGGATTTTTTTATTGTCCAAGTTTCGAAAGCAAAGGTGTTGATAGAAAATATCAATGCTCGAACAAGGCATAATTTTGTGTTTGTTTGTGTGATATCAGTATTCTTCCAAATTTTTGTTTGTTTGGCTTTTGCCGATTTGTCCATTGTGATGCGTCGACGGATTTAATCTTCGCATCTTCCACTGTTAGTAATAATGGAGCCTAAATAATTAAATAGCCTGACCACTTCGTAACTTACCATGATTCTTATCTCTGCTTCAGATGGTTAATTCAGATGATTTAGATTTATTTATTACATCTATCTTATATACTAAAACGCTAAGCCCTTTTCTTGTCTACCACTTTACTCAAAAACCATATTAGATAATTAAAATATTTTTTCGGAATATTATTAGTATTACGTATGAGATTGTCAAGATATACTTTTGGTACAAAAATACACTTCCGGTTTTGAGATGACCGGAAGTTAAAATTTACTTTAAGTTGTAGACCCCACAATGTATATATGGATTGAATCTTACATACTAAAACGCTAAGCCCTTTTCTTGTCCACCACTTTACTCAAAAACCATATTAGATAATTAAAATATTTTTTCGGAATATTATTAGTATTGCGTATGAGATTGTCAAGATATACTTTTGGTACAAAAATTCACTTCCGGTTTTGAGATGACCGGAAGTTAAAATTTACTTTAAGCTTTAGACCCCACAATGTATATATGGATCGAAAGGTTTCGTCTAGACGAATCTAAATATGTACTTCCGGTTGCGATCCGACACCGGAAGTGACCCGAAACGCGTATAAAACGTCAAGATAGAGCAAATCTGACACCGGATTCGTGATCAGCATGCAAAATTAACTGCTAAATGATATCCATGTCGACATTTGATGAACTAAAAATTGCATTCCGGTTTTGAGGTCGACTTCCGGTTTCGTTTTTATTAAAAAGTAAAAAGTAAAAGTTTGCATAACTCCCGGTGTCAAGCAAAAGTTTTCAGAAAATGGAGACATTGTAACAAAAAACATTGTTTTCGACGAAATATTTCGTGATATTTAATACACTTTTTACTTGCATTATTATTGATGAATGTTATGTATATTCTTGCTTATATTGTTTGTATTGATCTCTTAATTTTCCTCGCAAAATAAAAATTTCATTTAAAAAACTCTATTTAGAAAACTTCGATTAAAAATCGTCGAATTGGTCCGCTAGTAATTACTATTTAGCTAGTTGGAAATTATTGTTAAGTTCAAGGATCTTTTGCGGTAATATTTTTGTTATTTCTTCCAATGCCACACCCTTATATTCCATATTTTAGCAGTTCGTTGGTTAGTTTATTTAATACTGGTGACTTTCTATTATTATATTATAAGAGAAAACAAGCAAAGAAAAGTTGGATGGCAGAGTAAATTCCGGATATGATAAATTTAAAGAAAATAAGAAAGACTACAAATAAATGGATAATTTAATGGATACAAAGAAGTAAAATTTCAGTTGCTGCTAAGATCATCGCCTAATCAGCTTAATGAGTCACGTATTCAAAGCGTTCTTAAAAGAAATTCATAAACATTGAGTTTATAACAAATGTGAAGAGACAACAGGAGACACTCAGTTGGATTACAAAAACATTACACTTGGCACAACACAAAACACAAACATAAACACTTGGCAATAACATTAAGATATTTGGACAGTGGGAACAGTTATAATACCAAAGTTTGCATTATGTATTTAAATTATCATCACCAGCAATTTCCCTTTATGTGAAAAATCCCACAACAATCTCTTACTAGCATATAGCTCTAAAAACTTCGACACTTGGTCATTGTGCCACTCAACCATAGTTAACGAAAAATTTACCAAACAATAAACAAATAAGTCTGTGCACCGAGAGTAGCAGGCTGCTGTACTGTCCCTGTACCTATACTGTCGTACTGCAAGTCCTTTGACTTGCGATAAAAAAACCCGCCAACGAAGGCAGCGTACGGCAGCGGCAGTGGCATGAGTAGTGGCAGCGCGAGCGACGTATATACATACTCGAGCTGCCCACTTCCCTGCTCAATTCCCTGCTCACTGAAGGGGAAATGAGCTGTGAAGTCATTTAAAATAAATAAAATTATTTCAGCAGCTTCTGGACTGTGTATTCATTTTTAATCTTTTATCTGACTGCATGCATAGCGTTCAGCTCTTTCTTTGAAAATACCATGTTTGAGCAGTTGAAAAGGTATCTTGAATTTCGGCACTAATCTAGACCTTCTTCTTATTCTTTTCGTCTTTCTCTTTAAAATCAATTCTGCTTGTTCATTGGTCCTTGTTTAAAAGATTTCATAAAACCATTGAACTAGTTCTTCCTCTGTAGGTTGTATCGTATAAAACTGTTTGGCTTTGAAGAAAATTGTGTTACGAATTTGATTTAGGCTGTGTTTAGATGTTTAATCGATACACGTCTTAATAAATTCTGGTAACATAAAGTCACTTCCATGTTTTTAAGTGGATATAATGTCTCTTAGGTTTAGAAACAAAAAACAATTTCAGAGTTTTGAAAATTTTCGAATTTAAAGCTTGAAATTAGTCTTCTGATACAAGGTCTTCTATTAAACTTCGAATCTGTAGATTTGTTTTTAATGAATACGACAGCATAAAATTTTTTAAATTTACTACAGGAATTATTTTTGAAAACGTTAATACTTCTATTACTGCCAGAAATCTCTACTTGATCTGATTCAAATTCAGGCTCAATCTGATGGGTGGAGGTTTTGGATTTGTTTTTCGTTAACGAACGAAGTTAAACTTCAAACATTACTAATAGTGAACATGGTCGCTTTTTTCTTATTCTCAGTATCATTGAAGCTTTTTATGTTTCTGATAATTTTCCATACTATGATTGTCTCTTTCAAAACTTACACAATGATTATTAATACCCTCTTCTAAATAGATAATTTTTTATCTTGATTTGAAATTTTTTATGTTATAAAAGTGTGGTAGGCTCTGAAAACTTCTTAAACTGAAATTTTGGACTGCTTTTTGAGTAATAATTAAGTTTCTGGATATTCAGTGAATTTCTAGTAGATAAAAGTTATGCACCACCAAGTTTGATGATTCAAGGGCCAAAGAGAAAGCTTTACAAGAAAGCCAAAAATGTTTCATCAGATTGAAAGTGTCATTGATACCTCTTATGAACTTTGGACCCTCTTAGAGATAAGTATGAAATATTGGATTTGCGTTCGAAAGATTACACAAACTACCAATCTAAGATTTTATATCTAAAAACAGCAGTATAGTTATTAAATCATTTGGTTTTTTAGGAGCAGCCAGTCCAGATAACTTTGAAAATATAAATGAACTAACTGAGAATATATACGTAATACGTATGAAACGTATTAGTAACTTATAGTAGTACCGAGTAAACTGTGAACATGATTGGTAAAATATCTAGGAGAAGTTGAGTTGGTTTTTAGGTAACTTAAGAGTTTACTGTCGCCAAATTAATAATTTGTTGTTTAAAAATGTCTCATATAATATATAAGGTTATTTTGGAGTATGTGAGCTGAACAAATGCCTATTTACCAAGTAAAATCAGCTTTATTATTGGTATAAAGAATCGCTTGTTATGAACCATTATGATATATCAAGTGAATACCGATGCGTTAAAGATAATAAAAATTTGAAGATATTAAACATTCGAAGAAGAAACACAAAAAATCTAATAGGATGGAATGCTAAAATTAGTGCCAATTAAATACATCAAAAGTTGTAAAAAAAAGTTTAGTGTCATTCATATAAAAACGATTTTTAAGCCATAACTGCCTGCAAAAGTCATATAGTTTTCGGATAAATATATCAACTTTATTTAAGTTAAGGATTAATAAAGATAAACTGATAAACAATTAATTAACTATGAAGAAGATCGTATTCTAGTTCTCAAAATATACTTTAGTACTCGTATATTGTATTGTGTGTTGCCGATATTTGCAGTTTGTAATAATTAAAAATTTTAATACCAATAATGATTTATTTTCCGAACACTTCTTAACATATTATTGTTTCAGTGGTCACGGATTTCCTAACAATTTGGACACTTTTGGCTTAATATCAGGTCTCTGGACAAGTAGTTTCGCCCTTGGAGCCTTCATCGGTCCATCCATCAGCGGTATACTATATGATGTCATTAAATTCCCTAATGCATCCCTATTTATAATTGTGCTGAACATTATTCTGGGAATCGTGATTGTTATATTTAATTGTTATACTAAGCCACCTACTTCTTACGAAGAACTTAAAGAAGATAAAGTGGTTCAAGAGGAAACGGATAAAAATAGTATTATAAAATCGTACCATCAAAATAGTGTGACTGAAAGTATGAAAAGGTAAGTTTTATATAATCATTTTACATCTTTTTTACTAATTAACAATTAGTAAGTGTCTTAATATATAAAATTCACTAGTTGACGTACTAACCTTGTAGTTAATTTTATTTTTGCTTTAAAACGTTCGTTTTATACAAAAAGTTCGAGACTTTTTGTAAACTAAAGTACAATAAATAATAGGTTCAAATATACTTAGCACCTTCTTTTCAAGACAAAAACCTAGTCCATTATAAAATGCCTGTCTTAAGTTTGCAAGCTCTTGTGGCATAATTGTGTCACATGCATTGCTTATTTTATTTTTTAAATCAACTAGATTATGTGTTCTTTCGAGATTGTTACCATAAATGGAGGATTTAATTAGCCCCCAGAAAAAGAAATCCGTGGGAGCTAAATCGGTAGATCTCGCAGGCCATTTAATTTGGTTTGTTTCGCTTATATGCGATCACTGGTCATCTAAAATACCGGTCCACACATTAAGTTTTTACGGAACTTAGGTCGAATGTACAATACTTCGATGTTCAGTTTCCTGAGACGAATACAGCGTTCTGGAACATTGTGATGACCCCATACTGAAAATGACGATTCATCGGTAAAGAGGATATTCTTAAAATTCTTAAATTATTATTTTCGTGCGATGCATTCATTGAATCTTCACAAAAATCAATTCGACCAAATTGACCTCTGGAAAATAACTCATGAGTTTTCGAATATTTAAAACTCCCTCAGCCATTTTTTTAAACCTTTATTAACTGTGGTAAGAGAGACCTTTAACTCCTTGGCGAGACTTCTAGTGGTTCTGGAGTTATCCACCTCAATGGTAGCATACATACTTTCATTTCTTCTTCCGATTTCCTGCTGTCTTTCCGAGCACATCTCTTTTTTTATTTTGGAACATTTCGTACAATCTTGTAAACAATACTGTGTTTCAAAACTATTTACAATATTTTTGCAATTGTTTGTCTACAAGGTATGGGTCTATTTTCGAAAGTATTAGCAACACTCTAACAAAGAGCATTTCTTTTAGCTCATGCATAGGTCTTTTGCATATTTCTGTAATTTGATCGATCCATCTTTTTGGGATCTTCCTCGTGATCTTCTGCCTTTTACCTTTCTTTGGATAAGTCCTTCCGTGTTTTTTGTGTTTGCTTTCATAACATGTTTAAATTATTTTAACTCATTAACGCCGTAAAAGAAACTAGCTTGTAAAAAATGGTATACGATACAAAATTGTGAGGTTTTGGTTACATCTACTACTATATTCAAAAAAAAAAATTTCAAAAACATTTTGAAATACAAGGGCGTCCTCAAATGGGGACGTTAGGTATTTGTATAGTATTTTTCAAAACATCTTGCCTTTATATGGCACACAAAATACTAACTGTTTTTCCGAAAAATGAAAGCCCTTGGTGATGTTAATGCTGGAACCAGGTTTTCTTTTTTGTTTTGATTCTGATCTGATTTTGAACTAATTCATCACATTTTCAGCAGAAATTTGATGGAGTTTCCAGGCATTAGTCATGATCATGTACGTAAATAAACACATTACCACTTTTTACCTTTTATACTTCTTCGATATAATAATATGCACTGATCATGCGCATCTACTCCACTCATTCCAAAGTTATAGGAAGCATACAATTTTGGCTGTACTATATTTCTTTTGATTTTAATGTTATTGACCACCGTTTTACCTGACCTAGCGGTACAATGGTATCATAATTGGATAACATAGAACAAACACTATTGTCATACCTTTCACACACAAAACTTAATTAGTCTTGTTGAATCTATAATCATATGTAACTTTTTCCATTTTCTTCATTAGCTTATACTACATTACTAGACATGTTTACACACGATTTTCTCTTACAGTTCCTATCGCCTTTATGTTTTTTTTTTGTTTCAGATATATCATTAGTTGACACGTCATGAAATAATTATCGAAAAAAATTAAATTTCTTTATGGTTCGGGCAGGTATTTTCAAAGATCAATTACTACTTTAACTGCAAGTGGTATTCTTCCAATTCGTTTATCCAAATCTGACTGGCTTCCCTCTAATAAATTATTATCATTAATTATTCATTTTCATTAATTAAATCCTTATGGATTTTTTTATAATTTTATGAGCTAAGGATCTAGCTTTGTACATAAGATCTTTAGAATCGCCTATTTTGACATTATCCGCTAGATGAACAAACTTTTTTATTTATAAATACCTGTCTGCTGATACAATGAGAACATTGATAGAGAAGGCAAATGAATACCAACTACCCGTATTTCTTGCCTTCGTCGACTATGAAAAGGCGTTCGATAGTATCGATATGTGGGCCATAGAACAAGCTATTAATAATTGTAGAATAGATTCGAGATATAGGCAACTAATACATAATATATATGAAAATGCAACTATGATAGTACAACTAGACGAAAATACAAATCCCATCCCCATTAAGAGAGGAGTGAGACAAGGAGACGTAATATCGCCAAAGCTTTTCAACCTAGCCCTAGAAGACGTCTTCAAAACTAAAAATTGGTCAACCTATGGCATTAACGTTAATGGCAACAAGTTAAATCAGATCAGATTCTGATCTGATATCAATCATCGAATCACATAGTGATTATAGCGAGCACATTCGAGGAACTGCAAATTATGTTGGGGAACTAGCAGCCAGCTCACAATACGTCGGCCTAAAAATGAATATGAAAAAAACAAAAATAATGACAAACACAGATGACTTCAGACATATAACTATAAATGGCAGAGAGATAGAACAAATCCTATATCTACCTAGACCAAATCCTGAGACTTGACAAAGAGAACCAAAGTGCGGAAATTACTAGAAGAGCAAGACTAGCATGGGCAGGATTTTAAAAATTTAGTTGGATACTTAAGAACCGCAAAATACCCCAATACTTGAAGAGCAAAGTGTTCAATGAATGCATCCTTCCTATCATGACATATGGATGTCAAACCTGGACCCTAACCAAGGCAAACATGAATAAACTAGCCACAATAGAAAGAACAATGGAAAGAGCAATGTTAGGTATACGACTGTCAGATAAAAAGAGGAACGACTGGGTAAGATCCAAAACAAAATTCGAGGACATAACAACAAAAATTGCCAAACTTAAATGGAGCTTCGCAGGCCACACTGCTAGACAGAAAGACCAACGTTGGAATACTACAATACAACATAGGAGACCTTACGAAAGTAAACGAAAAAGAGGAAGACCACAGATGAGATGGGTTGATGACATTAAAAGAATAGCCGGAACAAATTGGAAATATGTTGCTCAAGATAGAGACCGATGGAAGGAGTTGGGAGCGGCCTATGTCCAAACATGGACGACAGAAGGCTAAGAAGAAGAAGAGGTCTGCTCATAGCGTTGTAAATACAGGAAGCTGCTAGGTCCTCATTTAATGACCATTATACATAACTTGTCTCGTGGAAATCTGTTATACCCATTTAGATATAATATTGCAAAAAAAGTTTGCATTTCGTTTAGAAATATTGTAAAAGAGTAATTATTTTTTGCCTTGAGTATAAAATTGACTAGTCACAAATGTATGTAAGAATTTCTTAAGTAAGTAGTTTTGCAAAAATTTTAATTGGTGATGTATTCCTCACAGTTTCTTTAACGTTTTTCTCTACCTCTTCGAATGATATATTTCCTGTTGTGGTACTAGATTAAAAATCGGTTTTTACCCACTTGTGTTTTAAAACATTAGCATATTCCTGATTAGGATAGTCTATCCGAAACTCAGAAGTTCTTACATCTTCCGATTTATCACAAGTTTTAAGAGAAGTTTTTATAGTTTTAGGAATTTCATTTGGAAAGTAATTTGGATCTTCTAGAATAGTATCATCAACTTCTTCGGTATCTGTCAGTTCATCCAAATTTGGTGGCAGAACACAAAAACTAATATTCTCCAGTTGTTCATATTCCTCATTATTAACTTCTTCCGCCACTTGTTCTAGTTTTTGGAAGGTTTTTGAGCCATAAAATATTGTAATATTTCCTTATTGTATAATTACCGTTCGAGGACGCTAAAATATAGTGACTGTAAAATACTACCAAATATAAAATAAATTAAATATGGTGAATACTTACATTTAGAATAGTCCTTAGACTTCTAATTTACGGTATAAAATTGTTAAAATATATTTTTTTCTTTGAGGAAAAATGTTTTTTAATCTTTAACTATACCTCTTCATTCTTAAATTCACTCTTCATTTTTAAATTCAACGTGATGGATTTTGCTGGATAGCCGTTGGCTGACTTTTAGCTCATTTAGAATTAAATTGTTTGTTCTGTAATCAGTCCACGGAATTCGTAACATTCTCGTAACAGATCATTTTAGTGACGTATATCTTTCTTTTTTTCCGCTTGTCGTAATGTCCAAAGTTCACATTGGGAATATTAAACAGTTAATCAACCTAATTTTTAGAGTTAGTGAAAGTGATGAGTATTTTCTGATTTTAGCCATCTTTCCTACGGCGACTTTTGCTGAATAACATCTACGTTTTACTTTTTTTCCTGTAGTGATCTTGTGTTTGTGATTAATGATCCCAGATCTAAATATAAGTTCACAACCTTAAACCGGTCAATTGTTTTTATGTGTGGATGATTGTTTTGTAATCTATCTACTATCATGATCTTTGTCTTTGGTATTTTTACCTGCAGATTAAATATTTGTCATTCGTTTTAAACTAGTCGTATAAGATCAATTAGCTCTTCTTCGTCTTCTTGACTATTTGCGAGAAGGGCTGTGTAGTCTGCAAAAAGTAGGTTGTTTATTTTTCGGCCATATTGAGATACCCTTTTCCCATTCTTCAAGCGCTCTTCTTATAATATGCTCTCCATATATATTAAATAATTGTGGAGACAGTATTCATCCTTGTCTGGCAGCTTGTTCTGGATGAAATTTTAGTTTAAGATGGTGTTAATCACTTGTTCCAGTAGGATGTTCGTATAGTTCAGTTTTTAAGCGAAATTAAGTGTTGTAGTATGCCTACTTCTTTTAGTATCTGCCGTAAGTGTTGCAGTGTCATTTGACCCTGTTGAACGCTTTACGACAATCTATAAAACAAATTTATAGTAGAATATTGAATTCTCTATATATTTTTTTTTATTTTTCTTATGTTCAGAAGATCCTCTTCAGAACCTCTATCTTTGGTAAATCCAGTTTTCTCTTGAAGCATTTTGTTTTGGAGAAAAGTTTTTAGTATCTTATTGATTATGTGTAGCATTTTTTTGCTGGCATGTGAGATAAAAGAGATGGTTCAATAGTTGTCGCATTTTTGGAAGCTGCTTTTTTCATGTATTGGCGTTATTGTAAATTTTCTCCAGTCGTCAGGCCATTGCTTGAAATGCCATATTTTGTTACAGAACAAGTGAAGTAATTTTAGTCTGGTTTCTTCTGCAGGTTTAAGCAGTTCCGGTATTATTATATGTTTATTTTATTATCAATATAAGTTTATTTATTTATTTTTTTATTATCAATACTTTGTTTTATTTTATTCTCGCGTCTGTTAGGTTCTTCTTCGATTTCTTCGAGAGTTTGGTGAACAAGTTTTTCACGTTGATCATCTTGGCATCCTAGATAGATCTCGGCAATATAATATATATTTCTCTGCTAAGCCATGTTGTCAAGTCGGCTAAAACGTACGAAGGGTTGTAACGCCACGGAGTAAGTAAGTAAGGCTTCAGAGTTGTACCTTTTTTGACATCCTCTCTAATGTTTTGTTCGAAGTTGCCTGGGTCTCAGTCTTCTGAATTCCTAGACACTACTACACTGTTCACTAATCACTGCAGTACTGCTACTAGGGACAGCGGACATTTTATTTATACTGTCCATGAAGACGTGGTTAGGGTGGCGGTTGACGTTAACATTCTTGATGACGGGATTTGATTTAAAGGTCGTATCGTCGGAGTGGGCGATATTGTCTTGATAAAAGATCTACTTGCTAAAGATAACCGGATGTCATTATCTCTTTTATTAAGACAATTCGGCATTTTTTTCAATTTTTATGGCTTCTCAGATAATTCTTGGTTTATAGAAGCGGATTGGAGCTATAGTTCTGGAGTTTTTAAACTCAATATTGTGACCTGTATGAAGATGGTGTTGACTTAGAGCTGAGATTTAATCGGAATTTCAAACACAAATGGAATATTCATAAATACTATTTTCGATTGTATCATTTCTTTGGCCTACAAGATACATGAGATTGGGGTAGTCTGCACGAGAAATTTCATAAACTCTATGTTGTTCATTTGGATGTTAACTTTCATGGATCGAACAAGGAATGAAAGTTTTTCTTTGGGTTAAGATTGTCTTTATTTTTCTTGATTTAAGGATTTTGTCTCTTTGCGTTGAGATTGAGTCGTAGATTGATGCCTGTGGATACTCCTATTGATATCATTTTCACGGGAAATCACGATAAATTACCTGGAACGAGTTCATGCGACCACTGTGATTTCATTTTACATAACATCTGTAGGAGGTTTTTTAAGGTCAATACAATTAGCACCAGACTAAACGTGCGCTTGTAAAACATATCTGCAGTGAAAACGATTGGTAGAGAAGTAGGCTCCTCGGCGGTGACCTGTTGAACGTGCTTGGTATTCCTTTGTTTTACCTGCGTGCACTTGTTTGCCCTTACATGGATTACATGGATTACAAGCAGGTGTAAGTATAGCAACATAGCTCTGCGGGGAGAGTGGGGCCCCAAGGTATGGCTACCGTCTCCTATTATCTGGAGACGTAGTCGCAGGGACATTGGTTCTGCCAGAATAGGATAGAATGATGTACCCTGTTGTACACAAACGGGGCTTATTGGGTTGTCAGTGTTCGGGGTCCCCAAACTTCACCACCCAGGGGGAATCTACATTATCACGGATTCCTAGATGTTTATGTGTTCAGTTCATTTTTGGAATCCCTGGGCATCGAATCCCACCCGCTGCTCATATGCGTTATGCCAACGCGAAATGCATGCGGAGGGTCTGCGCCTAGGCCAGAAAACCGCGTAGCGGAGTCATAGTGTTCCTGGAAATGCAATCCAAGTGGTGATACCGCCTTTCAATGCCCGCCATCTAGCTGTCCAGTTTAGATGACTTGGGTACTGATGTAACCGACAAGAGACGGAATGGCGGATTTTCCAAGTTAAAAGTACTTGAGTTGATTAATTTCGTTTCATAAAATCGGACATTTGAACTTTGTGCTAGGGGGGGGGCAGGCCATCATATTGTAATCCCTTCAATGACTCTCTTAAGGGATAGAGAATCGAATACCTCTACATTCTTCCTTTCGGTACGTTTCATAATTTTGAAGTTCTGGAGCCTTTATTTAGTAATAGTTGTGCATATTATTCGTTTTTTCTTTATATCCTCAATAACCAAATTAAATGCTTTTATATTTACATTATAGCACATTTCTGCGATGAGAATTCTATTAGTTTTTGGTCAAGACGATCTTTACAGAATTCTTTTGTTGATTTTTCTTAGAGTAGTTGTATTATTTTACTTTTTTTGTACTATTCTAATTTTTTTCTGTGAAACTGTATTGTTATAATACTTAATTTTATTTCCATATATACTTTTAGTCGGAACTGATGTGATCTTCATTCTGGTCCTCTTCGGTCTATCACATCTCATGTTTGTGAATACATTTGCTTAATATCTAAAACGCATAATTTTTTAGATAAAACCAATGTTTGCTTGCTTTGCTCATACTGTTATATAATATTCTATAATTGAATACTAATTAATAATTGAATACTATAGAAAAATTCAACTTTAAATAAAGCAATGCCCATATTTGATTTAAACTAAGTTATAATTGTGTATTTCTTGTCTTTAGTATCAAGTCAGTGGGTAATGGAATTTCCATAGAAAAGAGCAGACCTCCAGCGATGAACAGCTTAATTGCCTGCAATAGTCTAAGTCAAGCTTGGACAATGAGGGATCCCTCTAACCTCAGTATTGGACCATACAGCTATAGCTACGGTACTGTCAATCACAGACCTTCCAATGGAAATATTTCCAGCTCATATCTAAACGGTGTTGCTTAAATATAAGTATTTTATTGTATAGGTATAAGATTAAAAAATAAATGACTTTAGACTTTTGTATTTAGCGTTATTATTTGATGCATTTTAAGCAAAAAATTGAGATTAAGAAGAATCTCAAGAATAAAAAGGTAAGGTAGAGGTAAAATATAAATAAGTACCTCTTATATCATCAATTTGTTATAAACAAACATGATAGATAGCTGTTTGAGTTTATTGGGCAATAATAACTATAATCAAAGCCTTATTTTCCACTTTTTCCATCCATATGGTAACTCATCCACATAGAGAATTGCTTCTGATTACAAAATTGTATAATAAAGTATTTTCCCGACACATAAAGATTATTTTCTATTGGCTCCGCTAACACATTTAAACCATGGCCGGTTTCCAGATAAGATTCAAACATACCTAAATAGTTTTCTCATAGTCTTATGACAGTCTTGTGCAGTGTTTTCTTGTAAAAACATTAGTAAGTCATATTTTTCATTGTGTCATTATCCAAATGGTTATTGTACTACGAGATTTTAAAAACGAAAAGTTTCTCCTGTTTTAATAGAACTAAGTTCAAAATTCCATCTCAGAATACCACCTTCTACATTAACTAACAAATCCACAAACAAATCATTCAGAACTAATAAATTGGAACTAAATGTCTCACTGAAAACAAATCTGCCAATCCAACAGAATTTCTTAACCAATCCATACAAGAAGCTGCATGGGAATCAATGACAATCAAGGAAATAAAACGACCTTCACTAAATATCCAATAAAATCAAACAAAAAATTATTGAGAAACAAATATTGAAATTTGCTGACGACAGCACCACATAACAAGGCAAAGCTTAATAAAGCTACAGCATATTTAAGCACACAAAATAGTGCTGTACATTATATTCTTAAACATTTTACACTTACAAAAGCTACCGAGTAGTCACTTTGGAAAGCAGCCAGGCAAATAGAACGTTCTCAATTCTCTAACCCTCCAATCTGCACTGAAGATGGCGCAAGGGGCAAAAAGTAATATAAAGAGGACCAAAGTTTTTGCTGAACATCTTAAAACGGTTTTCCAAGCATTTTCTATAGAATTATATGTAGAACATATTAATACAGATAATTAAATCCAACTTTATCAACGTCGAACAAGGGTTCCGGCCCAATGAGTGGCATTAATGAACCTTGTTTGCCCATTTTATATGCTTTTTATTGCCCTTTTGATGCTCTGGTAGACAGGCTAACGTGCTACAGTTTTCTAGTTTATTTAGAGCACCCTCACAATCCCATATTATCTTTACCTCTACAGGATTAAATGCCTTAATTTAATTGTTATCTTTTCTGCTTTTTTATTTATTCCACGCAAAGATGGATTGGCGTTATTTCGACCTAGAAAATTGTGACATTCTTATGTAAACCAGGTAAAATCTGGTTGTATGGGTACACGTTCCTTCCAGTCTTCCCTGCCTGGTTACCTTTCTATTGTCAGGACTATGCGCCTTGTTTATGTGTTGCTGACTATGTATTAATCTGTGCATCACAGACTTGGCTTTGCCTTGTATAAAGATATGAAGTGGTGGAAGATTCAACAGGACTTTCAGTGCCGCTGTAGGAGTTGTTTTTACGGCCTCGGTAATACACAGACACAATAGCTTTTGTGTATTACTTAGTAGTTTTATTGCTCCTACTTGCTACGTCTTTGTCCACCACATCACAGACCCGTAGGTTATCATTGATCTAATATCCCTTGTGTATAACCAAAGAGTCATTTTGGGGTTGAGTCCCCAATTTTTACCACACATCCTTTTACATATGTCCAAGGGCATAGTAGCGTTCTGTGTTTTTTTTCAGTATGTATATATTCCGTGTAAGTCCATAACTAAAATATACCCCTAGTACCCTAGTCGTCAAAGACGAAAATTCCAGTGAACCTCTAAAAATCATACTACCAATCTAAATTTTGCTGAGAATTCTATTTTGAGACCCCAAAAAAGACGCAAAAAAGTTTACCCCTCGTATTCCCGCTTTCCCGTAAACCAAACTCATAGGAGGGGGCGGAAAAAATTTATTTAGTAATAATCTGTACGCCGTAGAATAAAAACGTTTTAAATACAAAATGTAGCTTAGATAATGTTGTACAAAAATATTAATTATCACTTTTTATGTAGAACAAACCAATCTCTCAGAAACAACGCTTAAAACGACCAACGATTTTGATTGTCAGTTTCTCACGCGAGTCAAGGTTTCGGTTGACCACCATTCACTTCTTTGGTTAAATAAATTGTCCAATCCTACTGGTAAATTAGCCAGATGGGCCATGCGCCTAAGACACAATACTTTTGATTTAATTTATCTTCTTCTCTCAGTGCCGTGCACCTATAGTGCGTTTGCGAATTATCTTAAGGTCCGACGTCTGTCTTTTGCGGCATACAAAAGATCGCCAGTGTTATTTATGCCTGTCCAATTTTTTATGTTTCGTAGCCACGACATTTGTTTGCAGCCTACTCCTCTCTTGCCTTTAATGTTTCCCTGGATGATTAGTTGAGAGATTGCGTATTTTTTTCCTCTTAGAATATGGCCGAGGTGTCCAATTTTTCGTACCTTGATCAAATTGAGTAGTTCTCTCTCAATATTATTTATAGAAAAGGAAAAACCCATTTAGTCCCTCATGTTCCTGATCTCGACCTCACACCAATGATACAGTAGAAACTATCCAAGAGATTTGTTATTTAGAAATTGATGTAGATAGAATAGACCCTTGATTCGATAATTTAAGATCAAAGATACTCCGATCCCCCCTTGATTTTCCACAGTGGAAGGTGGAGAATGATTTTGTTTATAAGTTTGTCCCTACCACCAATTCTTTTAAGACTAATTATGTAGAGTGGAACAATGCCATCGGAAAGTGGCGTCCATACAATGCAAAGAGATCAAGAGGCAGACCACAGATGAGGTGGAAAGATGACATCAGGAAACAAGGAGGTCCCACGTGGCAGAGAACAGCTCAAGATAGGGAAATATGGAGAGAACTGGGGGAGACCTATATCCAACAATGGAAGGATAGAGAATAGGTTCAAAAAAAAAAAATGTAGAGTGGAAAATGCTTGTGCCCAAACCACAAAGGTTTGAAGTGATGCACTCTTGTCATGAGCCACCTATGTGTGCTCTTGTCATGAGCCACTTTGGATTTTACAAAACTTTGTCCCGTATTCAGGAAAGATATTATTGACCCCAGATGCGTTTTGACGTGCTTAAGTTTGTCAGGTCATGTAATGTTTGTGGTGCTCAGAAGACACCAAATTATGCTCCATTAGGTAAAATGGGTAAGCAGAGAGAAGCCAAGTTTCCTTGGCAGATAGTTGCAATAGATCTGATAGGTCCCTTTGTTCGTTCAAAGAAAGGTTATACATTGTTATTAGTAGTTGCTAATTGGTTTAGTAAATATACGTTAGTGCAACCTTTGAGAAAGGCCACGGCTAAGAATATTGTTGAGTTTTTGGAGTATGATGTTTTCCTAATGTTTGGTGTTCCTCAATATTTGATTTGTGATAAAGTATGGTTTAGCACAGTATATGCACCTCAGTGTAATTTTGTGGAGAGGAACAATAGAACCATTGGTACAGCAATACGTACATATGTTTAAGACCACGTAGATTGGAACAAGAATTTAGCAAAAATCAGACAAGCTATTAACACCGTAAAGCGTGAAGTAACTGGATATACTCCAGCTTTTCTGAATTATGGCCGTCATGTTTCTTTAAGTGAAAACTATTATGGTGTTGATCACAAGGGTCAACAGAATCATGATATTGAGATAATTCCAGGTGACCGTAATATGTATGCTTCAGAAGTTAAAGGTTTAGATAAAGTTTTTGAAAAGGTTAAGGCTAATCTTCGAAAAGGATATGAACGAAACGCTAGAAGTTACAACTTACGTAGAAGGGAAGTCCAATTTCAAGTGGGTGCTAGAGTTGGAAAAGAAATAAGGTTTTGTCTTGTGCTGTCAACAAGTTTATGTCCAAACTAGTACCGAAGTATATCGAAGCAACCATCAAGGAAAAATTGTCACCAGTGGCTTATCGTTTGTCAGATTTAAATGGTTCAGATCTTGGTAAGTGGCACGTTAAATATTTAAAGCCTTGTGTGTCAGATGAGGACAATATGTCATCCTTACATAATTAGTTCATTCTATCCCATGTCTTTGTTTTCGAGTTTGTATGTTGATTTGATTTCATCCTTTTGGAATATTGTTTCACTTTTGATAATTTTAGTACAGGTAACCTATTTTGATTGGGAAACACATGTGAGAATCACATTTTGTCATAAGTAAGTATATAAATTGAGGGTCTATATCCTAATTTTTTTTGTAGAACCGTTGCCGAATTCCCTGTCTCGCTAGGCGTATAGTGGAGATTAGTAGACGCCTACCTATTAAGTGTAGAGCATTTTGATTTGTGTACCACATTTGGTTTGGGCAACGAGGTGACATGGCTATGTCTGTCCGACAAATCACTTGTGTTACTGCTGTGAATGTCAGCGAGGTTCACTGCAGGGTATAAGGTTAACCTCTCCTAAAGCATAGAAACTCATGTCACCTACAGTTCATAGCAGAGTCAAAGATTTCAGTCTACTCGACTTTAAAGAGTCTGGTGATCGATGGCATGCTAGCTCATTCTTTATAACTAACTTTGTTTTTGTTGTTTAATCCCATGCTAGTCATCATCTAAAATATATTATTTAGAAGTCTTGACTCATTTAAGAGGTCATCTTCTGATTTTGTTTTTGTTGTTTTGCTTTTATCAAAAACTGGATAAGATTATCAGAGTTTTTTCTTTTAAGAAGGGGCATTGTAGCGTTTTAAATTTGTTTTAGCTATAAAATTATTTAGGTATAAAATTTTGTAGTAGGCACCTGAGTTTTGTCTTGTGTACGCATTTAAAATTACAAAGAACGAATGTATGTATTTGTTACTTTCTGTAAATTACCTTCTATTTTTTACGTTTCTGAAGTCAGTTGAGGAATGTCTCAAGGTTAAATTTTGGTTTAATTCGGGGTAGAAGTTAAA